ATTATTATTATTATTATATTATTATTATTATTATTATTATTATTATTATTATTATTATTATTATTATTATTATTATTATTATATTATTATTAGTATTATTATTATTATTATTATTATTATTATTATTATATTATTATTATTATTATTATTATTATTATATTATTATTATTATTATTATTATTATTATTATTATTATTATTATTATTATTATTATTATTATTATTATTATTATTATTATTATTATTATTATTATATTATTATTATTATTATTATTATTATTATATTATTATTATTATTATTATTATTATTATTATTATTATTATTATTATTATTATTATATTATTATTATTATTATTATTATTATTATTATTATTATTATTATTATATTATTATTATTATTATTATTATTGTTGTTGTTGTTATTATTATTATTTATTTATTTCTTTTTATTTTATTTTATTTTTTTTTTTTTGAATTTAAGGACTTTATTGGAGGATGTAATTTTTTTAAAGAACTACAGCTGTGTAATTTTTAAGTAAATTTCAATGGACACACCCAATGTTTTAAGGATTTTTAAAAGCTATTTTTTTAAATTTGCCAACCAAGAGCATTAATTTCTAATTTCTAGTTTGTACATCTCGACTGTCGTATTCGTATATTTTTCGTACCACCCCATTATCATATGTAAATTTGTTAAATAAAACAATAATTTGTGTAAAATAGAAAAAAAAAACAATAAAGACAACATGTCGTTTTGCACCTGTCCTACATGGAAAAGAGAAAGGAGAAGAAGCACAAAATCACATGCATCCACTTCTCTATAAATATTATTTGATATTTATGTGTGTTTACAACTGATACATATTTAAATACATATCTACGGAAGAAGGAAAAAGAGATTGTTGGGATAAGAAAAAAAAAAAAAAAACACGCCAGAATAAACTTATCTACATCTGGGGAAAATTATCACCAGTATCATCATCATCATCTAACAGCACAGATGTAGTGCCATATTTAAATTTATATATTCAACTCTATAAATATCCAAAAAATATGTTTGTAATTTTTCTAGATTACAACTGCAAGGCTTTGATAACAGGCATTCTCCTAGATTGATATCTTTCTGTGGAAGGCAATCAAAAAGACGAAAAACAAAATAACACTAATTTTAAATATATGGAATATCATAGGTCATGTTGGGTTTTTTGTGTCTTCCTTGTAGCTGGATTTTAGATAACAATGGTTTAGATATTCTGCTCCAGGGTAGATTTTTTCAATCGAGATTGGATATTAAATTTTTATTGTGTACAGCAATAAATATGATTCTGAAAATTAAAAAAAAAATAACTAAAACTATTTTAATTTTTTTTTCAAAGGACCAAAAAAAAACGTTTTTTTAATATTTTTCAAAGGACATTCAGAGCATCAAACGTGGCTTTTTTAAAATATTTTTCAAAGGACATTCAGAGTAATAAACGTGGATTTTTTAAAAATATTTTTCAAAGGACTTTCAGAGCAACAAACGTGGATTTTTTAAAAATATTTTTCAAAGGACATTCAGAGCAACAAACGTGGATTTTTTTAAAAATATTTTTCATAGGACATTCAGAGCAACAGATGCGGATTTTTTAAAAATATCTTTCAAAGGACATTCAGAGCAACAAACGTGGATTTATTAAAAATATTTTTCAAAGGACATTCATAGAAAATTTTCCAGAATAATTTTTAAAGGACATTCAGAGCAACAAACGTGGATTTATTAAAAATATTTTTCAAAGGACATTCATAGAAAATTTTCCAGAATAATTTTTAAAGGACATTCAGAGCAACAAACGTGGATTTATTAAAAATATTTTTCAAAGGACATTCATAGAAAATTTTCCAGAATAATTTTCAAAGGACATTCAGAGCAACAAACGTGGATTTATTAAAAATATTTTTCAAAGGACATTCATAGAAAATTTTCCAGAATAATTTTCAAAGGACATTCAGAGCAACAAACGTGGATTTATTAAAAATATTTTTCAAAGGACATTCAGTGCAACAAACGTGGTTTTTTTAAAAATATTTTTCAAAGGACATTCAGAGCAATAAACATGGATTTTCTAAGAAAATTTTTCAAACGACATTCATAGCAACAAACGTGGATTTTATAAAAATATTTTTCAAATGACATTCAGAGCAACAAACCTGGATTTTTTAAAAATATTTTTCAAGGGACATTCCAAACAACAAACGTGGATTTTATAAAAATATTTTTCAAAGGACATTCCAAACAACAAACGTGGATTTTCTAAGAATATTTTTCAAAGGACATTCTGAGGAAAATTTCAAGAATATATTTCGAAGAACATCCTGAGCAATTAACGTAGGTTTTTTTAATAATTTTTTGAAAGGACATTCAAGCAAATTTTCAATAATATTTTAAAAGGACAGTCAGATAAACGTGGATTTTGAAGAATATTTTTCAAAGGACATTCAGAGCAAATATTGAAGAAAATTTCTCAAAGGACATCCGGAACAATAAACTTGGGTTTATTAATAAACGTGGACTTTTTAAAAATATTCTCCAAAGGACATTCAAAGGAAAATTTCAAGAATATTTTTCAAAGGACATTCCGAGCCATAAACGTGGATTTTTTAAACACTATTTTGCAAGGACCTTAGACCAATAAACGTGGATTTTTTAAAGAATATTTTCAAAGGACCTTTAGACCAATAAATGAAGATTTTTTAAGTATAATTTTCAAAGGATCTTTAGACCAATAAATGAAGATTTTTTAAGGATTATTTTCAAAGGACCTTTAGACCAATAAATGAGGATTTTTTAAAGAATATTTTCAAACCAATAAATTAGGATTTTTTAAAGAATATTTTCAAAGGACCATCTGACCAATAAATGAGGCTTTTAAAATAATTTTTTCAAAGAACTTTCTGATAAATAAATGAGGATTTTTGAAGAGTTTTTTCAAAGGACCATCAGACCAATAAACGTGGATTTTTTAAAGAATGTTTTTCAAAGGACCTGCAGACCAATAAACGTGGATTTTTTAAAGAATATTTTCAAAGGACCTGCAGACCAATAAACGTGGATTTTTTAAAGAATATTTTTCAAGGACCATCAGACCAATAAATGAGGATTTTTTAAAGAATATTTTTCAAGGACCATCAGACCAATAAACGTGGATTTTTTAAAGAATATTTTTCAAGGACCATCAGACCAATAAATGAGGATTTTTTAAAGAATATTTTTCAAGGACCATCAGACCAATAAACGTGGATTTTTTAAAGAATATTTTTCAAGGACCATCAGACCAATAAACGTGGATTTTTTAAAGAATATTTCCAAAGGACCTACCGACCAATAAATGTGGATTTTTTAAAGAATATTATTCAAGGACCATCAGACCAATAAACGTGGATTTTTTTAAGAATATTTTTCAAGGACCTTAGGACCAATAAACGTGGAATTTTTAATGAATATTTTCAGGTCATTTTTCATTTTTTTAAATCAAGAAAAAATCAGTTTTTTGCTTTCTTATCCAAAAGTAGTTATGGGATACCATTCAAGACAACACTTTCCTTTACCATAACGAGTTATGTTGAGTGCGTGTGTTATATTTTGAAAAAATCTACTTGAGGGGAGAAGAAAAACTACACACATACACACAACAATAGTTTCCATATGCTTAATTAAAAAAGTTTTTTTGTGTTGCAGTTTAGTTTTGTTGAGGGGTTTCACATGCGCCATTATTCTGGTGCCTGGTGCCCGAGAAGAAAATCAAGGCGAAATAGACGAGGAAGAAGAAGAAGAAGTAGTAGAAAAACATTAAATAAAAAGTGGAGGAAAACTGGAGGGAAAAATTGCAAGAACTTTTATTGTTTAGTACGTACACGGGAGCAAGCATTTCCGGAAAATTGCACCCACCAACACACGCATGAACTTAAATGCAATAAATGGTGATAAAACAAGAATTTCTTCCTTTTTCTCTGTTTAAGTAATTCAACAACAATGATAAATGTAAAGCAAAATGGCAAAAAAAAAAAAAAAAACATTTACGAATTTGAGGTTTCAACCCAGAAACTCGGGGGGCAGGGGCGAAAAGGAACAGCAAGTTTTGAGCAAAAGTATTGTTGTATGATTTCATGGTTATGTTTTGTTTTTTTTTTTTTTTAGACAAAAAAAAAATAGAAACTGAAAATTGTTTGTAAAATAAAATCTAAAGAGAGGACTGAGGGGTAAAAAGTGTTGAGTTGAAAATAAGGAATCCTCGAAACACAAATAAAAAAATGTGTAATATTATTTCTGTTATTTGTTGAAGTAAATATTTAAATGCTGCAGGTACAACTCCTACTACTTTTGGTGTAACTGGAGCCTGATTTTTTGTTGTTGGAAAAAAATGTAAAAATTATTTAACAATTTGTTGCTTATTTGGGTATGGCAAACAAAACATCAGCAGGATCAAGTTTTCCCTTCAATGTTTTGGGGTATAATGTTATTTTCCCTTTGGTATGGAGGTGTTAGACTAGACAGACACCTTTGTGAGGTCTAAGACAAATATAAAAATGAATTAAACAACTTTTAAATAAATGTATATTATTACAAATCTGGTAGCAGTAGAACCTCCACAACGGGAAAATGAAATAAAATTTAATATAAAAATTAAGAAAAAAATATCACGGCCATACAGTGGGACCTACGTAGAGGGCGAGAAAAATAATATAAATTTATAAAAATAAAAATATCCATAAGAAATGATATTTCGAATTAAAAAAACATCAGCTCTTATTTGGAAGGCGATAGTATTATCAAAAATGGTCCCACTGTATGCTTTTGAAAATTCTAATAATTCCAAAAAACATGGTCTACTTTTAGGATTTATTTAAATTTTAATAATTTTTTAAATCCTTATATCTAAGCAAAAACTTGGTTTTTATTCGTCGTTTCAATATTTGTATTTAATATTTTTTGTCTCTCTCTCTCTCTTTCTTTTTTTTAGAAAATCTTAAGATAATTTTGAGAGACCAGATGTAAAAAATGGAAGCTTGGAATATCAGAATACTTACACATCTATGTGGACATCTATAAAGCTATGGCTTGGTTATTGCGTTTTCAATACGGAGAAGGTCCTCATATTATCTGTAATGAAAAAAAATAATTTTATTAATAAAAATTATAAAAAAATTAATAATGTGTTTCATTATTTATGGATATAAGATTTTTAGTAATCATTTTTTATAAAATTTTATTTAATATAAAAATATAGTTTTTACAAGGGGCTTTTTTAAAAAGGGTTTTTTTCAAGCCTCAAATATAAACGTGGATTTTTAAAAATATTTTTTCAAGCCTCAAATAAAAACGTGGATTTTTAAAAATATTTTTTCAAGCCTCAAACATAAACGTGGATTTTTAAAAATATTCTTTTCAAGCCTCAAATATAAATGTGAATTTTTAAAAATATTCTTTTCAAGCCTCAAATATAAATGTGAATTTTTAAAAATATTCTTTTCAAGTCTCATATATAGACAAGGATTTCTAAAAAAAAATATTTTTTTTCGGACGGGGATTTTTTTTAATTTTTTTTTACGTCAATATACTAAAGTGGATTTTTTAAATTATTTTTCTCAAGCCTCAAATATAAACGTGAATTTTTTTAAATATTTTTTTTCAAGCCTCAACTATAAACGTGGATTTTTTAAAATATTTTTTCAAGCCTCAAATATAAACGTGGATTTTTAAAAATATTTTTTTTCAAGCCTCAAATATAAACGTGGATTTTTTAAAATATTTTTCAAGCCTCAAATATAAACGTACATTTTTTTAAAATATTTTTCAAGCCTCAAATGTAAACGTGGATTTTTTAAAATAATTTTTTCAAGCCTCATATATAAACATGGATTTTTAAAAATATTTTTTTCAAGCCTCAAATATAAACGTGGATTTTTAAAAATATTTTTTTCAAGCCTCAAATATAAACGTGGATTTTTTAAAATATTTTTTCAAGCCTCAAATATAAACGTGGATTTTTTAAAAATATTTTTTTACAAGCCTCAAATACGTGGTTTTTTGTAAAATATTTTTTTCAAACCTCAAATATAAAATTGGATTTTTTAATTTTTTTTCAAGCCTCAAATATAAACGTGGATTTTTAAAAATATTTTTTTCAAGCCTCAAATATAAACGTGGATTTTTAAAAATATTTTTTTCAAGCCTCAAATATAAACGTGGATTTTTAAAAATATTTTTTTCAAGCCTCAAATATAAACGTGGATTTTTAAAAATATTTTTTTCAAGCCTCAAATATAAACGTGGATTTTTAAAAATATTTTTTCAAGCCTCAAATATAAACGTGGATTTTTAAAAATATTTTTTTCAAGCCTCAAATATAAACGTGGATTTTTAAAAATATTTTTTTCAAGCCTCAAATATAAACGTGGATTTTTAAAAATATTTTTTTCAAGCCTCAAATATAAACGTGGATTTTTAAAAATATTTTTTTCAAGCCTCAAATATAAACGTGGATTTTTAAAAATATTTTTTTCAAGCCTCAAATATAAACGTGGATTTTTAAAAATATTTTTTTCAAGCCTCAAATATAAACGTGGATTTTTAAAAATATTTTTTTCAAGCCTCAAATATAAACGTGGATTTTTAAAAATATTTTTTTCAAGCCTCAAATATAAACGTGGATTTTTAAAAATATTTTTTTCAAGCCTCAAATATAAACGTGGATTTTTAAAAATATTTTTTTCAAGCCTCAAATATAAACGTGGATTTTTAAAAATATTTTTTCAAGCCTCAAATATAAACGTGGATTTTTAAAAATATTTTTTTCAAGCCTCAAATATAAACGTGGATTTTTAAAAATATTTTTTTCAAGCCTCAAATATAAACGTGGATTTTTAAAAATATTTTTTTCAAGCCTCAAATATAAACGTGGATTTTTAAAAATATTTCTTTCAAGCCCCAAATATAAACGTGGATTTTTAAAAAATATTTTTTTTTCAAGCCTCAAATATAAACGTGGATTTTTAAAAATATTTTTTTCAAGTCAATATATAAACGTGGATTTTTAAAAATATTTTTTTCAAGTCAATATATAAACTTGGATTTTTAAAAATATTTTTTTCAAGTCAATATATAAACGTGGATTTTTAAAAATATTTTTTTCAAGTCAATATATAAACTTGGATTTTTAAAAATATTTTTTTCAAGTCAATATATAAACGTGGATTTTTAAAAATATTTTTTTCAAGTCAATATATAAATGTAGATTTTTGAAAATTATTAAAATAAGATATATTTTTTTTCAAGCCTTATATTGAATTAATTATATAAAACTTTTCTTTTTGTTTGTTTTTATTTTTTCAAAGAAATTTACTACAGCTCCACTTTATTGTCGGCTAGCCCATTGTGCGAAATAAAGACAAACATAAAGCCTCGACTTGATTATTTTTATTCATTTCAATAATCGCACAAAACCTCTTTTCGAAACACATCTGGCTTTTTATGTCGCCTCAGAGTTCAGTTTGTTTTATTTCATATTTTTTTGTAGGCTACTGCATTTCTGACTTGATTAAAGTTGATTTATATTTCTGGCACAATCAGTGGCATACAGAAGCGAGTAGTGGAGTAAGAGAGTGAGCAGGGGGAGTGAGACAGAGCAAGGAATTATAATATTTATGTCAGTGCTTCACGTGTAGTGGAGAGAATATTAAGTAAATCAGACAAACCAACTGGCGGGCAGGCAGGGAGACTGACTGCCCTGCAGACAGGCTGGCAAATGAAATAAAGACAGCGAAATGAATACAAACTATCTTTGACTGAACTTATTTATGGAGTCGCTAATAAAAAAAGGGGGAAGTTCTTCTCAATAGGTAAAGGTGAAGGAATTTTTGAAAAACTAAATCTGGAAAATTAAATCTCAAAAATATTAGAGGCAGCCTTTTTAGGTGCTTCAGTGGAATTTGTATTTCTCTATATTCCACAAAAAAATATTCCTAGAATATAATCTCCATCACGCTTGTCCATGCAACACCCTTTCCGCTTACACCAAAAAAAAAAGGTATGCAACCAAAATATAAAAATCCTGGCCATAACGTTGATACTTTATTAAGCTGCATGGCATTATTGTCATATGGATTGCTTGTGGGTTGACTACTATTTTTGATCTTTTTATATTATTTTGTGGGCCTCATTAAAAAAAGAACTACAACAACAACAATAATAAATACATAAAATATATATGAAATGACCAAGAGACCGGCTGTAACAGCAGGCAGGCAGCAGGCATATGCGTATTAAAAAGGGGTTCAATTTTTTAAGATTATTTACACGCACACATACACACGTGCAGGAGCGAATAAAAAATGCATGCGAATTCTTTTTTATAATAATATCCGCTCCCCCCTCAAGGACAAGCCAAGTATTAATGGTAAATGAAAAGAACATGGAAATGGTTTTATGAAATACAATATAAGATCAAAATTTAAGGATCCGAATGGAAAAGGAAATTGTAAAAAGGACGAAGGACGATGTCTTTATTTTCAATATTTTCTTAATGGAATTATTTCTTAATAAATCCTGTTTTTTAATCGAAAGATAGGCCTTCTTCAAAGGACTTCTATGGAGACCTTAAAATCCTGTATAGGCTATAGAAGACCCCGAGGTCTTATTACATATGTAAGACCTTCAGGTCTTCTATTCTTTATAGAACATCTCGGGGTCTTCTATATCTTCCTCTTTCTCTGTAGAAGACCTTGAGGTCTTCGATTCCCTATAGAAGACCGTTAGGTCTTATAACCCTTAAAGAAGACTTTGACGTTTTCTGACCGCTTTAGAAGACTTTGAGGTCTTCTAACCCCTAAAGAAGACCTTGAGGTCTGATATCCGTTATAGAAGCCCTTGAGGTCTGCTATCCGCTATAGACAACCTTACGGTCTTCAATCCGCTATAGAAGACCTTGAGGTCTGATATTCGCAATAGAAGATCTTGAGGTCTTCAATCCGCTATAGAAGACCTTGAGGTCTTCAATCCGCTATAGAAGTCCTTGAGGTCTCCCATCCCCTATAGAAACTCCTTTAGGTCTTCTATTCTCTATAGAAGACTTAGAGTTCTACTATTGCCTATAGAAGACCTTGAGGTCTTCTATCCGCTATAGAAAACCTTGAGGTCTTCTATCCGCTATAGAAGACATTGAGGTCTTCTATTCTCTATAGAAGACCTTGAGGTCTTCTAGCCTCTATAGAAGACCTCGAGGCCTTCTAGCCTCTACAGAAGACCTGGTGGCTTTCTAACCTCTATAGAAGACCTTGAGGTCTTCTAGCCTCTATAGAAGACCTTAAGCCTCCATAGAAGACCTTAAGCCTCCATAGAAGACCTTAAGCCTCTTTAGAAGACCTTGAGGACCTCTATTCTTTATAGAAGACCTTGAGGTCTTCTATTCCCTATTGAAGACATTGAGGTCTTCTATCCCCTATAGAAGTCCTTGAGATTTTCTATTGCCTTCAGAAGTTCTTGAGGACTCTATAGAAGACCATGAGGTCTTCTACTGTCTCTAGAAGACCTCAATGTCTTCTTCTGTCTCTAGAAGGCCTTGAGATCTTCTACTTCCTACAGATGAACTTTAAGTTCTCTTCTTTTCAAATAAGCCTTCATACTTGGTTGTAAGTTTATAATTTTCAAAAATTAATTATTAAAAAATTTATTTAATTTTTTGTTTAAAAATCAATTCCGCAAAAGAAATATTTCCAGCAGTAATTAATAATGAAAATCCGCAAGAAAACACTACAGGTTGTTTGGTTTCATTATTAATTTTCGCAGCTGCCTCACATGCATTCTGGTGCTACACTTCTACTGATCCCGTATTAATAGTTAACAACAGCAGCAGCAGCAAGAAGTGGCGAGGTAGACCACAGCTGCTTTGTGTCGCATCATCATTTCATATTCCATGCTTCGAAGGTGTGGGTGTGAGTGTGAATGTTCAAAATATTATAGTTCCTGATGTTTGGCTTCAAGGCACAACTGGATAATTTAATATATCACGTATGCATCATGCCGAAACCTCTAACTATAAAGTAGGGTAGGTGAGGAAAAATGGTGACCACATGAAGGGGAGAAATATTTTTCATATTAGCTTC